GAAGATTCAGATATGATAAGGAAGGCATAGTGAGGAGAGAAGAAGGAATGGCTCCGGAGAAGTTATTACTGGAAAGGTCCAAGATTGAGAGGTTGGCTAGATTCCATATAAGTGGGAAGCTACCAGTGATCTGGTTATTATCAAGGTACAGCAAGGTTAGCATGCTTAGGTTACAAAACGAGGAAGGAACTTGGCCAATAGAGCCCCTTAGAGCCGTTATCGACTTCATGACCCAGGTTTGGAATATGGAAGGACGAGTTGAGGGTCGAGCGCTGGGCCTTGACAAGTTTCAATTCAAGTTTGAAACAGAATATGAGCTTATCCAGGTCTTAGAGAAAGGTCCGTATCATTACAAGCGTTGGATGCTCATATTACAGAGGTGGGAACCTATTGTATCGGATCACTTCCCATCCAAGATTTCTTTTAACATCAGAATCCACGGTATTCCACTCCATTTCTGGTCTGAGAAAACCATCCTCACCATTGGAAGTGAGCTGGGGAAATGTTCTATTAAAGATGAAAAGGAGGCGAAGGTATGGGTTGAAGTCGATGGACTTAAGCCACTTATTATGAAGTTGGAAATTGAACTACCAACTGAAGATGTCACAGAGGTGGAATTTGAGTATATTAGGATTGAAAAGCACTGTTTCACTTGCTTCTCTCTATTACATGAAGAAGACTCTTGCCCCCACAGACCTGAAAATTCTCTTCCCCCGAAGGAAAGATTTCTCGGAATTACGCAGAGCATTGCGCTGCAAAGGATCGAGGCAGAGAAAAGACGTCATGATGAACGAAGAGGATACAGAAGAAACGATGATGCTCGTTCACACTCTCGACAATATGCCGACTCTTTTGCTTATTCCGGAAGATACAAAGCTACGGAGAGATCCTACCAAACTCGTTACACTGACCAAAACAGAGAGCGCTCTATACTATCAAGAACAGCTAGGTCAAATGTTGGTACCGTGAGAAGCAAGACACCGTCCTTCCAGTACCGAGTTGTAGAAAGAGCTAGACCGAGTACGGCATCATCAGTACCACAGGCTCACCTTGAGCGCGGAGAAGATAGAACATTGGCACCACCTGCAACTGCGAATGTTTTACTTACAATCTCAGGGACTAACATCACCCCTACACGCACCTTGAAAGACCGGCTAGGAAGTCCCAATAGTAACAGAGGCAATACAAACTCGGGCTCTAAGGACCGCAGATCAGCTTTGGCACGTTTGTCTGAACCAGAACCAACTAAGGAGAAATCCCCGAGAGTCCCCCCGAGCTTTGAATCAGGACGCCTACAAGAGGCTGATAATGCATACGAGGATGTACCTCTCGAGGTTACCGCACCTGCAACAGATCATAACCCAGAGGAGGAGAGAATCCCGGCTACTCTCAGGATTGGTACTAACTCAGCTGGAACAAGAAGCAGAAGGGGAGAAATCCCTGTTGCAGGGCAAAGCAAGGCTGTAATTAAAAGAAGAGTAACGAATCCAATAAGGAAACGTATTGCTCGAAGCCCTCTCCTGGGAATCACGCAGAAGTCTACCAGAGTGATACGCTCTACCTCAACAGCAAGAAGAAGGTTGACAGTAGAGAATAATAAAGATGTACCTTGTAATAAGGCAGGATCGAGTAAACAACGCAAGAAAAATGAGAGACCAGTTACGGTGTTTATACCGGGAAGTACCAGAGGTGGGGTGGATTTTCGGCCCCATCAAAATCCTCTTCCTTAGTCTTTCTTAGCTGGAATTGTCAAGGACTTGGGAGCGTCCAGACAATCCGGCGAATTAAGGAGATCCATAAACACATGGCTCCTAATGTAATGTTCCTAATGGAAACAAAGAATGAGGATGATTTTATTAATAAGAAGTTACACTCGTTGCATTATGCACACTATTTTTCTGTGCCTCCTGTTGGTTT